ATGATCCGATAAAGGGAACAAGGATGGATTTAGAATTATCACTATAGGGATACGAAAATATGTTTAGAAGTGCAAATCCTTATAATTTTTAATTATTTTAAATTTTCTAATATAATATATAATATTTTTAAAATTTTGGAAGTATGATCGCCCCCACCCACACCCCTTAGATCCATCATTGACAGGGTACCAACCTCTACGGCTGTAAAATTTAATCTCACCACAAAACCGACCTATATTTGATTCAGAAGCATTAAAAGCGATTATAAACCAGCCAATACAACATAATTTTTGAATCCATAGATATGAAGTAGATATAAGAAAGTAACTCTATAGTAAACCAATTACCTAGTTTTATAAATATTTTGGACTGATGGAGCAAAATTTGTGTAAATTCAGGGATGAATTAAAAATATATATATTGGAATTCAAACTGTGACATTTTTATTTTTCATTAATAGCTACAGAGATGAGACATATTGTTTGGTATAGTTCCACTAGAAAAGTTGAAAGCTCTTCTTCACATGAACCACGCCAAACTTGTATAATACATCATCCATCCACTCTACTAGATCCTTTAAGCTATATATATGCTAGGTTGTTGTCTCCATTTTCAAACAATCAATAAAATAATCATAAGATTAGACACTAATTAGTATTATGTAGGGCCTATTAATTTTCTCAATTAACCAAAACTGATCAACAGCATATTAATTTTGACAAAGACTTGATTTTATTGAGAAATGATTTAAAAATAAGCATCAGAAAAAATTAGAGTTTGAATATGTGGTGTAGATTTAAATTTAGGGTTTGTTTGGTACAAAACATTAAAAGTAGGTTTTTTCTGTTTTTATCTTATAAATGACAATCATAACTTGTACCAAACACTCTTGATTGATTTCCAAAATAAAAATAAAAAAGTATAAGTAATTCCATAGATTGTACCACATACTCTTTTAGACTTTATTTTAGGAAATGAATTTTTATTTTTTATTTTTTTATTTTTTTAAGAAAACGTGCAAAAGGTGATATAAGTTAAATTAAGTGAAATAAGCTAATAAACTATATATAATTTTTTTTTTATTTTACCAAACAGACTAGTATCATCGCACTAATAATAAGGTTTTATTTGTCATAATTTAAAAAAGTTAAAAATTTATTATCTTATTTAAGTTATATTATCTCTCTATTATATCACTTTAAACTTAGGTCAAGTTTGGCATTTACTAAATAATACAAAAAGTAAAAAAGTCACTATCCTATTTAAATCACATCATATTATTTAAATCACATCACCTCTCTAACACATCACATCAAATCCAACCCAAACTCAACCCATATAAGCCAATAAGTCAAAAAATACACTTTTTTAGAACATTCCAAACTAACCCTTAACTCATACTCAATCCATATTTCATAAAAAGTCAAAAATACACTTATTTTAAGTTTTTGTCTGGTAAAAATTAAAATTGGACTTTTTGGTTAAAGTAGTCAAAAAAAATAAAACAAATTTTTTAATTCAATAAGATAAAATGTCACATTCAAACTATAATTATTATTATTATTTTTTTTTGACAAAATTCGAAAAATTAAAAAACATATCCCAAACAAAATTATCAAAATAAAATAATTAAAAAATTAAAAATCAAAAAACCAAACCAATCCTAAATTTTGTTTTTTCAAATTTAAAGGACAAAATGTCAACATTCATAGCAGGGTACATTAAAGTAAAAGTAATTGCCAATTGAAGAACATGTTGAAATAAACCATTCAAAAAATTTGACTTTAATGGTAACCCCCTCCCTACTTTTCCCCTATAGCTTTGCAGGTTTCAAACTGACCTGTCATCTATAAGCCTATGGAGGATTTGTTTGATTAGATGGATTGAATGGACCGAATAAGGAGATTAAAATTCATTAGATATGAATTTTAGGATATGAATTTTTCAGATTATTCAATTAGATTAGATATATCTCTCGTGTTTGTTTTCTTATAAGATTAGATATTTGAAAATAATTATTTTTAATGAATTTAATATTTGGTTGGATAGACTAAATAATTATATATGTTTAAAAGACTTTGTTGGGGTATATCACAAAGTTTAAATTAATAAAAATGCACATATGGACGGAATTGATACAAATTTAAACGATAAAGGGTTATATTTAAAAGGAAAACAATAATTACAAATTTTAAAGTTGTGAAACAATTGTCCCAAACTTTATTAAATTTTTTTTTAAATGACAACGATAATTTTTGTTGATATTTTAAATTAACAATACTAGAAAAATAATTTATAAATATTGAAAAGACTATTTTATCATTTTTCAATTGTTTACTAAGTAATAGCATGAAGGTAAAATGAACATTTTACACATTAGTCCCATGTGATACCAATTCTATAGAAATAATCCCACCTCCCTCTAAGATTGTTTAGTTCCTCATATGAGGGATATGAAGTCCGGCCGAACTCTAGGTCCGGTGAACTAAAATGGACACCAAACGATGCACATTCCCTTCCATTAAATAAACAATCCGAATAATAAATAATCTCTCCTAATCCCTTGGACCAAACACACCCATAATGCTCTGTTTTCTGCCACAGAAGTTCAACTATTCAAGCACAAAAAGTTCAATTTCTGGGTTAGTTGGAAATTGGTCTTTTTAATAATTTTTTTTTTTTAGCCTTTTTATAAAAAAAATAGTTACAAAAATTAAAGGAATGAACTAATTTTTTTTACTGTATAACATTTTACCTATTTTAGGGAATTGTGTTGGGTGTTGGTTCACATATTAGAAGCATAAGGATTACGACGATCCTTCCTTTGGAACCAAAATTTCTTTTTCTCATAATTGGATTATCATTTTTGTGGGGGTCGCATCATAGATAGACATACGATTCTAACATAAGAGCCAATATACACTATTTATTTTTATTTTTTTAAATAGAGTATGAAATACAATATCAATTTTTTATTGAGAAAATATGAAAAATAAGATAAAAACATATAAGTAAACATTTTTTTTTTTTTAAATCCATGTTGAGTTCCCAAAAAAATAACAACCATGGGACATTTTATCTACTCCGTTGTTCCAAAATGTCCCTTATTCTACTTTTTATTGCCTCAAGATATTAGTTTATTTTCAAAACTTACGAACTAAAATAATATGAATTTTTTATTTTATCCTTCTTTTAAATTCATCAACATCTATATATATATATATATATATATATAAAATATAATTATGATAATTGATATTTCTAAAAAAAAATATTTAAATCAAATGGTAGTTTTGAAAGTTATGAGTTGTTTAGAATAATTTAAACAAGTAATAATTGTGCTACTAAAAAAATTTAGATTCTGCAAAAGAGACTATTAGTTTGGGACCAAGGGAGTACTAAAATGTGACATTGTGAACTATGCTTCATGCTCTTAAATATCATTAAAAAGTATTTAGGGAGTCTTACGTGCAGGTCCTGATAGTTTGTTTGGGAGCATGCTAACTTTTTGAATTTTTATGAAAAGATATATAGAAAAATAGAGAGAATGATATAATAACTGATAGTGATTTTTTGGCTAAAATTGAAAGTTATCAAACGAGATAGACTTATTATTCAATCGGTCATGTGATAATTAGTAATACTTTTTTATGAAACACTGTTAAAATAACGTCCCTAATTGTAAGTGTTAGCAACATTTAAAAAAAAAATCATAGAAAAACATCACTATCTTTTTATTTTTAGTGATAGTTTAAAAAAATCGTTACAAAAACTCACTAATTACCAGTTTTTTAACATGTTAAAAAAGCATCACAAAAAATCTGTTTCAGTGCCAATTTTGCTAAGCCAACTTTCAACAACAAATTGATAGGACTTAATGAGAATTAAACTTAACTATTAAGACCTGGGGGTAATTTATCCAAGTATTATTTATGCAATAATGTTAGGGATTATGAAAAATATATCATGAAATTCATCATGAAGATTTTTCATCCCTTGATTAGTATGTGGTGTTTTATTGTATGGGTAATCTAAATGTGAAGGATCTTTCATGATCATATTCATGATATTTTTTTCATAATCCCTAACATTACTCTTATTTATGATACAGTCGAAATTAAACTCTAACTAATGCCCTTTATGACAACATTATGTAAGTTTGGGAAAAAAATTCGATGTTTAATGTTGTAACTCTATCACAACATTATGTAAGTTTTCACGAATTTATATAAGTGATCTTACAAAAATACGTAAGTCGAATATAAATTCGAATAATCACGTAAGTTTTCACAAACTTATACGAATTTGTATTCAATTTATATATTTTTGTGAGATCATTTATATAAATTTGTAAAAATTTATATAATTTTGTGATAAAGCATTTCCCATGTCTTTTTATTGAATCTAATCAAGTAACTTGTTATCTCATCTACTTTCTCTTCTTTACAAGTTAAAGCATATAATCAACACTATATATATATTTGTTATATCTTACCCAATTTTTTGTAATTTTATACTTTAATTGCCATATTTCATAGCGCCTACTTTGTATTTTTTAAATACTTGGAGAATAAACTTGTATAATTTAAAAGTAATTAATAGCTATTCATACTATAGTAAAATGGATTCTTTGAAATCGTAGAAGAGACGATGACCTCCTCTTTTCCTGTTTAAGTCTATCTTTAATTACATGTTCTTAATATGCTGTAATTTTCCTGTTTTAAGTTTATCCTTAATTATGTGCTTGTAACATGATTGTAACGGATTCAAATGACGAAACAACATTTCCAGAAAATTACCCAGAAATTTCCTAGAACTTCACATCTAAGGTGGAAATTTTCTTGGTTTGTAGACCTTCTGCTCTCTTGTAAGCAAAACCAATCCACCATCATGAAAACAATAGAATGCAGCACAACATGCTTTATTCAGATTTGAACCTGAAAGTTCTCGCATGTTCACAACATGAAGGCTTTTTATTTCATACTTCTAACAGCAAAAGTGCCAAAATAAAAGGGCTAATATTGATTGTTATTAATTTTTTTTGTTTTTTATTTATTGCATTCAAACATTAATTACAACAAAATACTTAACATTGCATTACTAACTAAGAGATCTAAAATCCAAAGCCCTGAATAAAACTAAATTCAGTAAGGCCACAACCAAGAAGGCTGTCCTTCAACTGAGAAATTCCAGTTACAAGAACTTGCAGGGGTGTCATTGTAACACCCACCAACTTCCAACTTAGGAAAGCATGGAGGGGGCAAAAGGCTCCTGGTGAGCTCATCTTGTTCATCGTCTTGCGAGAAATCCGATTGCTCGGCTCCTCCAAAAACATTGGAAGAGTCTGCAGGCTCTAAAATGGAAGAATGGTTCCCATCGGTGCAATGTGGGCTGTCGGAGTCGAAAACATCACTTTTAGCTGAACTTGCTTCTTCCTGCTTACACTCACAGACCACCATTGCTGCCTTGGCTTTGTTTTCAGAATCAGCATTGGAGATGATATGTTTCTGAGGCTCTGCAACTGTTGGATTTGTGTTCTCTTTTTGTCCGGTGAGTAGTTTGTCACTGAGAAAGCGAACCTATTCAAGAGGAAAATTTGAACAATTTGGTGAGGAAGTATGCATAACAATAAGGGCAAAAGTTTCTATAATTTAGTTTTTATTTTTTCCTTGTAATTTTAATTGATTCATTTTTTTAATGAATTTATAATATTTTTTTTCAATTTAATCCAATTAATTATAACTGTTAATATTTTATTATAAAAATTACACACACATGAGCAATATGTGTATTGCTTTTAAGGGTATAATTGTAAATTTGTTTAACTAAGCTTTTTGAAAAGGAAAAAGTTAGGGATCAGGAAATTTTTTTCATAAAAATGATCAAAAAAAATTTATGATCCTTAGATTATCTTGATTAGTGTGTGGTGTTTTATTCTAAGTGTAATCCAAGGGTCAGAAAGTTTTTATAATTATTTTTATGAAAGATTTTTCATGATACCTGGTATTGCTGTTTTGAAAATTAGCTAAACAAATAGTTTATTAGAAGAAAATAGGCCAATAGAAAGCTAATATTTAAAAAAAAAATTTGACTTTTCTAATGTATTGGCTTTTTGGGAAGAAAAAAAATGAACATACCAAATGAACTAGCAAAATGGGTTTTTCACCCAATAAGTTGGCTTATAAGAGATTGCCAAATGAAACTTTAACCTCAATAAACTGATGATTTCGGTAAAAAAATCTTTATTGATCTCTTCGATTAGATCAAATCAACACAAAATTCAAAATTAATTATAAAAAATGAGCAAATTAAGAATATAAAAACTAAAATAATTTAACAGACAAAATATAAGGACTACTGTTATAATTTATTCTAATTTATTCTACTATCACAAAGATTACCTCATTTCGCAATCTTTCTTTCTCCTTGAGGAGGCATTCATAGTCATTCGTGAGCCTATCATAGCTTGCCTTCAAAGAATCATAGTCTTTCTCAAGCTGCTTGGTCTTGGACCGGGCTCGCCGGTTTTGGAACCAAATTGCAACTTGCCTTGGCTGCAGCCCTAATTCCGTGGCAATCTGCGCCTTCCTCTCTGGTTCAAGCTTGTTTTCCACTTCAAAATTTTTCTCAAGAAACTGAACTTGATCGGCTGCGAGTCGCCTTTTCTTCTCCGGTTGATTAAAGCAAGCATCGTAGTGGTCTTCATTGCCATGTTCTTCCTTGTCAAGGGGTGGGGAAAATTGCCTGTCTGTTGGGTTTCCAACCATGGATGTTGAACATGAGAGAGACTCACCTATGCATAAGATGGATTCAAATTGATAATATATTCCATATGATATATTTGTCAAGTTAACTGAGAAAATTCACTAGTATTGTCCAAATCACACTAAATGCTTCATTATCCAAGGGGGGGTCCTCTTGTGAATTAACAATTCATTGATCATGTGCTACTACTGTTGATGTACTACACTCCCGAGCAATATCAAATCAAATCAAGTAGAAAATTACATAAAAAAAAGATTGTTGGGAAATTGAAAAATAATCATGTATATAAAAAAAATTAATGAAAGATATATGAAGTATGTGTACTTCGACAAATATATTGTACCCGTACTGGGTATTGACCGACATATGATACTTCATATAGTATTTCTGCATACGTATCAAGTACACGAAATACGTATTTAAATTTTTTCTTCTATTTTTAACGTATGTAGACGTATCTATATATACCCAAGCTGTACCATACTTTAATCGAAATAATATTTTCTTAAACTATAGAGATAAAATTTCATTTACTAAATTTCCTTTTTTTTTTTTTTACAAATATACCAAAGTCATATTTGTATATTATTTTTTAAAATTTTACACTTGTATCATACTAATAGTAATAGTCGTGCCATACCTGTGGTTCTTAGTAAAAGAGATTCCCATAATAATAAGAAAGTGGAAACTACACTATCTCTCCCTTCCTTCTTAATAATCATTTAAAAAAAAAAATTGTAATACAAAATACTCTGACATGACAGACAAATTGAGGTCTACAATTATTCTTATAAATTAAAAAAAAAAAAATTGAAAACATTTAAGAACATAACAGAGATGACTACAAGAAGAGATACTTTAAAACCCACAAACAAAATTGAAATGAATCAATCTTGTGGCAAGCTAGAAAAAACCCATCAACAGAAAGAAATCACTGATAAACAAGAAGAAAAAAAAAAAAAAAAAGGAACACCAACACTTTCTAGAAAAGTGGGGGAACAAGAAGAAACAGAGGACCAAACTGTATACAAAAAGAAAAAAAAAGGAAAAAGAAAAAGAAAAAGCAGGGGGTGTAAGGGAAAATTACCATGAAAAGAAGGGGGAGAGTTGGAAATCCAGAGAGACTCGAGAACCTGGGAAGAACAAGGAAGGCTGTTGTTTTGGTGTGTAACGGTCATGTTGGAACCTCCATAGACCCTCCCACCCTCCATACTAGTTAGTAGCAGCTTCTTCACTTTATTTTTGCAGAGTATAAAGAAAACAGAGTTAATGGGTTCAATTCAGACTGATCTATCTACCTATCTATCTAGAAGAGTTTATGACGGAAGAAGCCGGTGAAGAAGACTATGGTGATGTGAAAATATGGAAATATGGGGAGCTCATACCCATCACCCAGAAAACAAGAAGAACAGACATATATATGCTAGAAAAATGCTTGGAGCGCTAATTAGTGCTCCCACTAATTAGATGGCAGTGGGTCCTGCCATTAATGATGTGATATTTTGATCTTGAAGTTGTATTTTTTTTTTTTTTTTTTATTTTTTTAATGCATTAGTGCTTTTAGTGGTATATTTTTAGTGGGATGAATCATTGTTGATATATGCAAAAATCAGAGAGAGAGAGAGAGAGAGAGAGAGAGAGGGAGAGAGGGGGAGATTATTCTGTGGGAAGGAGAGGTTGATGGGAATTGTAACTTGGTAATAGAGGAGGCGATGGAGGAGAGGGGATTCTCTATTTTGGCAAATTTTATCCATGTGTGGGAAAATTATACAATAATTTCGGAATATTATATGATCATATTTTTTTTTATCAATTATTATATATTATGGCCCTTATATTATTCAATTACTTAATATAAATAATTAATATTTTATCTTATTTACCAATCATACTATTTATTACGTGGTCGTACTCTTACACTGTCGAGCGTGTGTCAATCAGAGATAATTATAACTGTGACCATTGCTATTCAACATTAAGGCCAAGTTTGGCATACCAAAATAATCTATCTTTTTATCTTTTTATCTTTTTTTCATCACATCACCTCTCTATTTTTCTGCGTATCTTTTCGTAAAAAGATAAAAAGTATACTTATTTAGGCCACCCCAAACAACCCCTAAGACTTTGTTTGGGACAAACTAAAAAAAATTTAAAATTTAAAAAGTTACTAAAAAAAGTTAAAAAGTCTATATTATTTAAGGATAGCTTGTGGGGGAAGCTACTAGGGTAAAATTATTATTTTGCCCTTTGAATTTAACTACTCAAAAAATCAAAAAGTCAAAAGGATAAAATACTTATTTTGATTTTACTATAATATTTTCGTAAAAAGTTAAAAAATTATTCCAAATATACATATTTTTTTCTCTAATTTTTTAACTAAAAAATCAAAAAATGTACTTATATAGCGCATCCCAAACAATTACTAAAAATTATATTTAATTTTCAAGTATAATGATATAACAATTAATTAAAATATTAAAAATAACAATCTCTCATGTATTATCTAATTATTAATTAATTATATTACTTATATATTGGCGATAAAAAAAATCGATTCAACTCATCCAATTATGTATTGGAGATAAAAAAAATCCATTCAACTTATCCAATTAATTGACACATATACATTGCCGACCTGAATACACATACATACAAGGCAATGATTGATTTGTTATACCATATCATCAAAATCACATATGGGTTAATGGTTAATGGTGTGTATTATATGTATGTTATAATTACATAAAAAAAAGTAATATAATTTTATATTTTTTAAGTTATAACTAAAAAAAGAAAGAAAGTTATAATTAAATATAAAAAATTATAGTCAAATATTTTAAAATAATATCATAATTAGAAATGAAAATAACATAACTAAAAATACATATAATAAGTAGATCTATATAATAGAATTCTGTGAATTTTTTTCTCTTGTTTCGGTCTATTTAGTTGCTTTTGCCTATAATATATATTTGTTCATTTGTGAATGTGGGGGTCGAGTATTGGGAGTCGTAGAGATTCCAGGTAATCGAACCTGGGAGAGTCAAAATACGTGGCACTCAGCGTATGCTCACACGCTCGAATGCAACACTACTCGACCAAATAGCCGATTAAGCAAGGGGCCGAGTAGAGAGCGGACTACTACAAAATATGCCGAATATAGAATTGGAAATGGACCTAATCCTGAGACCCAAGAAAGAAAAGATATAAATAGAAGAACATAAGCCAGAAAGAGGTATGTGAGAACTATTATACTTAATTGAGAATACAAATAAACTTGAGTGCGAAGACTGACTTGCCCGTCGGAGTGCTAATTTCGGTACCCCCGACCGGAGTGTTTATTTCTTTTCAGGTGACTAGAAGAGGATCACTAGTGTCCCCCATGATCAGGAGAGTATTTCCAAACCACCTCTTCACAATTGGCACCGTCTGTGGGAATACTCAAACATATCCATGGCGGGCGTAACGGAAGACTCTCTGATAGTCACTGATGAAACCACACAGAGAGACGACCTCACTCTAACAAACATGCTTGGACCGGAGACTATCCCCATAAGACACGCTTTGAACTGTGCCTCACCCTCGACTTCAGAACATGAGGCAATGCAAGCAATCATGGAACAAGCAAAGCAAAACGAACAAAGGTTGGAGAACATGATCGCTGAAAACGAATGTCTCCATCAGGATTTGGCCTTGGAGGTGGCGAAGTCCAAACAAGCTGTACGCCAAGAACCGGAACAACCCATGAGGGCCGGAGGTTGACGATCTCGAGCTCGACAACAAGACACTGATAGTGACTCCGACTCATTATCCCCGGAGCCCAAGAAGAAGGGACGATCTGAAACTTCCAGCTCCTCTGAAGAGAGTCCACGTATAAGGCATAAGCGCAGACGAAACAACTCAGATGAAGAAGACCGACATGATCCCTTTGTACGACGAATTGCAAAGGCATTGCTACCCAAGAAATTCAAAGCACCGTCATTCACCTTGTACGACGATAAATCAGACCCCACCGATCATATCCGCCATTACAAGCAAGCCATGACACTGCATGCAGATGACGAGGCTTTGATGTGCAGAATATTTCCGAGCAGTTTGGGACCACTAGCTGTCAGGTAGTATTACAAACTGGAGCCGGCTTCGATTAAAAGCTTCCACCAACTCCAAAAGTCCTTCAGGGCAAGGTTTATCACTAATGAGGTCCAACCAAAGCAGGCCGACTCACTCTGGGCAATGCAAAATCTGCCAGGAAAAACACTAAGAGCATATTCGGCACGATATTGGAAATGCTTTAATCTTGTTGATGATGCTTGCAACGACTCCATGGCCATCACCGCCTTCAAAATAGGATTATATCCAAATAGTGCCCTTTGCAGTTCCCTGACTAGAAAACCCCCTAAAACAGTCTGGGGGTTGATAAAGAAAGTAGAGAAATACTGCAAAGTGAAAGACGATGCCTTGCGAGTTAAAGCCAAACACATGGCCAACAAAACGGCCCCTCCTGAAATTGCTCAGCCAACAAGTTCCGTACCACCTTAGAGCCCTGAACCACGACAGCGGGCTAAACGAGACAAGAGACGGGATTCTCGCCGATTAAGCGATCAATGCTCACATCGAGCAAATGAGCAATTGCAAGTTGATAGTAGGCGCACAAAGCGCACCGACAAGAAGTATGTCAGGCAACATTACTGGCTGGCCACCAACTTTTAGGATCCTCCCAAGTGTGTACATCACAGATATGTGGTTCAAAGTTCAAGAAAGTGGGCCCAGGTTGTTTAACATTAGCCCGGAAGTGTGAAAAAACGGGCGTCGGAGGATATATAACTGGTTGCTGCAACAATTACTGGCCTCCCACCCTTCTATGGCCTTCCCAGTGATAAAACAGAGGTACCTGCCAAAAATGAACGAAAACCGTTGCAAAACAAATGTTCGGGGGCCAAAACGTGCAGTTCGGGGTCCCGAAAATGGGCTGTTAAACACCGAAGGTGGCATTCGGCCACGAAGTGGGTTTCTCAGACCCCAGTGTCCTTTGAAAGGGAGAAAATAAGATGTATGCCAAAAATCAAAGCAAATGGAGACGGTTAAGCGGTCCCGAACCGAGGCACACGGCCTGACGGCTTAGAAAACCAAGAACCGGGCCCAGAAATGGGCAAAATGACCTATAGCCGCAAAATGTAGCCCATGGCCACTGAGAGATGGTCTGCAGGACCTCTCTCTCCCCTCAGGAAAAGAAACAGAGAAAACCGAGTCTGGTTCGCAAACCGAGGCAAGGCACAGTAGAGAGTTCGGAAGTCCGGAGGCAGGGCTCGCAGCCGAGACTCTAAAACTTCTGAACAAGCACAACATGCAATATCACTGAGTGCTCAATTGGTGACGTCTGAGTCTTAAGGTCGGTCAAAAATGGGGTGTCTACACTACCCAAGAAATTCAAAGCACCGTCATTCACCTTGTACGACGATAAATCAGACCCCACCGATCATATCCGCCATTACAAGCAAGCCATGATGCTGCATGTAGATGACGAGGCTTTGATGTGCAGAATATTTCCGAGTAGTTTGGGACCACTAGCTGTCAGGTGCTATTATAAACTGGAGCCGGCTTCGATTAAAAGCTTCCACCAACTCCAAAAATCCTTCAGGGCAAGGTTTATCACTAATGAGGTCTAGCCCAAGCAAGTCGATTCCCTTTGGGCAATGCAGATTCAACCGGGGGAAACCCTTCGTGCCTACTTGGCGCGGTATTGGGAATGTTTCAATTTGGTAGACGATGCTTGCAATGACTCCATGGCCATCACCGCCTTCAAGATGGGACTGCATCCCAACAGTGCCCTCTGCAGCTCTTTGACCAGACAGCCCCCCAAAACAGTTTGGTCGTTGATGAAGAAGGTTGAAGAATATTGTAAAGTGGAAGATGATGCCTTGAGGGTTAAAGCCGGAAATGTGACCAACAAGACGGCTCCGGCTAAATCTGCACAACCGTTAAATTCTGTAGCACCCCAGAGCCCTGAACCACTACATCGGGCCAAACGGGACAAGAGACGAGATTCCCGCCGATCAAGCGACCAATGCTCCCACTGAGAAAATGAACATCTGCAAGTTGACAGCAGGCGTACGAGGCGCACTGACAAGAAGTATATGGAGTTGATAGAGCCGATCAGCGCGGTTATGTCCAAAATCCAACATCTCCCATTCTTCAAGTGGCCGTCGAAAATGGTGGGACCTCTCGACACGAGAAGACGGGATAGACGGTGTGAGTATCACAAGGACCATGGCCATGATACTGATAGTTGTTATGCACTGAAGGATCTCCTGGAGGAATTGGTATGAGATGGCCGCCTACAGCAGTACGTCCGAAAAGGCAACCCAGTAAAAGCGATAGCCTTAAGACAAGATTCACCTCCGCTCGGCGTGATCCACATGATATACAGCCTGCCAA